TATGTGTGGGGTACAGTTCTAGTGGATGTTTATATAATATGGGGGGGGCGAAAAAAATGTTCTGCCCCGGGCGCCCATAACTCTGGTTACGCCACTGGTACAACAGTTGGCTCACACTTCATAATGCTTGCCGTCTTCTGTATTGGTGACATTGTCTTGCATTGTCCCTTGTCTTGCAGGCTGTGTTTGACTGTGTGGTAAACTCTCTGAAGAACGTCCTCAATATCCTTATAGTTTACATGCTCTTCATGTTCATCTTCGCTGTGGTCGCTGTCCAGCTTTTCAAGGGCAAGTTTTTCTACTGCACAGATGAATCGAAGGAATTTCAGAGAGACTGTAGGTGAGGGACTGTTTTGCTGTACTATATATATTTGGGTTCTGGGATTCTATGTGGCTTTGTATTCATCCTGACTCCAATCCTCTTCATGTGTAGTGTGTATCAAGCCCTGGAATCATATGTGAGATTTCCTACTCAAGAGGTTCACAATCTTGTTTCCGTAGTCTTTCTTGCTCTCTTACTTTCAAGATATATATCAGCAACGCTTACTGGTGCATTGAAACTCCAAACTTTTGAGGCTCAATCTACAATTAGGCCTAATTATCTACTATTTATAAAGTGACAAATGACAAACTCAGTCAAAAGGTAAAGCATGTTCTACTCAGTAATAAGGGATGGTAAGATCAGTTAGATAATGAGAAAGCAGGTTGAATGTGATGGGATAATACATCTGAGGACATGCTAAGCTATATGTGAAATAAGCTTCTCCAGTTCGTCTTTGTGGTTCACTGTAGCGTTATAAGCTTTGTATAGAAAGACAGTTTACTTTATTAATTTAGAGCGCTGCCTAAATATTCCTCCACTAGTCATCAGAGTATCAGTCTTCAGGAGGGAAGTGGCGCCTTTAATGGTAGCAAAGCCTTGGTTGTCAACCAAGATGGCCACCTCTACATAAAGACACAGTGTTGAACAAGACATGGTAAATCAGTAATGCGGGGAAAAAACTGCTGCACGGAGAACACAGGTAATACTGGTGACCAGTCGTTTGTCCTCTGCTTGCCCTTCTAGGGCACATCTTCCATAGTTCAGATCTCCTTTAAAAGAGAACTATGGGGTAAGTGTTTTCCCCATAGTTCTCTTAAGGATCACGGGAGGACATATGCTAGCATCCTCCCATGACCCAAAGCTCAGTATATAGCGAACTACAGCTCACGGTATACTGAGACCGCCGCAGCCGGGACGGATCCCGACAATGCTGTTGAGATCCACCCAGCTGCGTGAGTTACAGCTGGCTCTGCCTATCTAGAGGCAGAGCCAGCTGTACCCGCCCCTCCCCCATCCATTCCTCCAGTCAGCGCTTGAGGATCAGAGCGGGGAGGGGTGGGAATCCCTGCGGGGAGCAGTGACTGACAGTCACGGCTCTCTGCAGGGACATGATCGAGAAGTCAGCGAGCGGCGGTATGTGTTCGCTCACTTCCCGATCTATTGAGCCTTCATGTGACAGTTTCACTGTCACACATCGGCTCGAACTATGAGGATGAGTGATTTTCACTCACCTCATAGTTCTCCTTTAAAGATAGCCTTTAAAGAATCAGAGGCAGTGTGATTGGAATTACAAATAAGTATAAAAGCAGCAGTCATAATGGACTACCATGTGGCACAGGTAAAAGAGCATTACAGCACTTCAACCCAAATATAAATGTCTAAATGATCTTGGTAGCATCTTGCTTTAGCAAAAGTCATATTTATGATTGCTGTATTAATAACACAAGTTTTCATTGTATCAGATATGAGGCTATGGACATAATGACTGAAAGTAAAAATAAACTAAAAACATTTTTTACAGTTTTTTTAAATAATAAAAAAAACACATCTTGCTCTGGGTGTTTCCTTTGCAGACTTTGTGTTTAAAACCGTGAAGTTTTATGTTGAAGATCTCTGGTGATTGGGTCTTGTAGGATAATGATAATAATCAATTCCCAAAATAAGAGCAGTCTAATAGCTGCCTTTTTTTCTTTTAAAACTATAATGCCGTGCGATCCTGCCTCCCCTGTGTAATTGTCCCCGTGTGTTTCTCTCTAGGGGAGAGTACCTGGTATACGAGAAGAATGAAGTGAAGGCACAAAAGCGGGAATGGAAGAAATGGGCCTTCCACTATGACAATGTGCTGTGGGCACTGCTCACCCTTTTCACTGTGTCTACAGGAGAGGGCTGGCCAGAGTAAGAGCACCTATCTTCTTTTTTTATACTGCTGTATGCGGAACACAGAAATTGATATATACAAAATATGCAAAAACACACAGTAAAAAAGTTTCCATTTATATTTGATTTCTTCAGTAGCTGCAACAAATCCATTGAAACCCAAACCTGCCTATGTCTAAAGCCAATTACGTGCAATAAATTGGATTGAAAAATATTTTCGTATTTTCCGGTATTTACCAACCTCTGTATAGTTCAAGGGCATGGATAATCCATTCATAGGATACCTAATAAGTTAGACCCTCACACTACAAATCTGGTGAACAATGTAAAGCTGATAGTACAATTAGATTGTAAAATGAGTAGTCAGCTTTGAATGTTTTTTAGAAGAGAGAATATCAGATCATGTGAATATTCGGAACATGAACATACAATATATATGAAGAATTGCTCCATACATATTTCCAGTCAATGTTGTGGTACAGAAGCCACAAATCAAGAAATATGTTTGAAATCCATTAAAGTTGAAGGCAAACAGCTAAAAACATGGTTCAAATCCATCCACCTTTGAGTCGATTAGTGTAATTTAGTAGACTTGCTTAATATCTGCTTTACTGTATTTGTTATTATTAATATTTTTAATATTCAGTTCTCTCACCTACTTTTTTAATACCTATTCTTCAGCACATGCACAACTCCATGGCTGTGGCTTGCAGCTTCTGGCCAGGTGTGCGTGGCCTTTGTGATGACCTAGGTAGATATCACAGGACTACACTTCCTATGATGCTTTGATCTGCCGCCGCCTTCTGTGCAGGCTGAATGTGGCTGGTCAGCTAGTAGTTAAGATCATGAGCATGCTCCAAAAAATAATTTTGACATTAGGGAAGCGACCATATATTACTTTGGGTTTACTTACACTTTAATGCAGTCAATGTTGTAATGCAGGCAGACCTGCCATATTGCATAGCCAAGTTAGTGTTCTCAGTTGTCTCCACTGCAGTTACGTAATAATACTTGGTCACCCACCTGCCCCCTGGCTGCTAAGTGGGCAATGAAAGACCATCACTGTACTGATGAGGTCATCAGCCTGCTCTCTCCTCCTATGTGCAGGCTCCTAGTCTTAGACTGACAGTACTTTCTAAAGCAATAGAGCCTGATGGAATTGCAGTTCTGCTTCCCAGTCATAATGCTATAGGAAGCTACTACAAAGATATATTCAGGCAGTTAAGCTAACAGTATTTAAAATTGATATAACGATTTTTGATGAATACATAATTGAGTTGATGGTGATCATTTATAATTGCTTTAGTAAATACATCAGCTGATGTTTGCTTTGGATGGGTGCCTGATTCATACTGTGTCTATCTTAACAAATTCCCTTAGTGTGGGAACATTGTAATATGTACATGAGATGACTAAAAGGAACATTCCTGCCACTGGCAATATGTCATCACTGTATAGCACGCAAGTATAGCGGCGGGTGTGGCTTACTGCTTCATTCTTAATGAAAATATTAACATATGTCTAATATAAAATACACTAGTTTCTCTCTTTTATGGAATTATTTTCTTTTTTTGCCTTTTTTAGCACCAAAATGCTGCCAGTGAACATGTTCATCGAGTGAAAGCAAAGAAATCTGCATTAGTAGATTTCACCCACAATGTCTCTCCAGAGTCAAATTGTAGACGTGGGGTCTTTCAGCTCAGTGCACAGAACTTAAATGTCTCTCTTATATTTCACATTTCATATTTGGTAAATTAGCAAAATGTACCAATAGCTATGCAGTGGGAAGGCCTGTCTGATCAGAGGTGAATAGATGGAATTTAAGGAAGATCTAATTGGTGTCATTTAGAAGATTGTGCAAAATGCTGTGTAGCTACCCAAAGTAACCAATCACATTTCATCTTTCTCTAGTTTGGTCTAATCGAAATGATGAAAGATGATATTGTTCCTTGGCTGCACTTCACCTCATTGTCACCCTTTAATCTTGAAACAGAAATGACCTCGTACCTCTGTGTACTGGCAGCACCTCATACACTCGCTCTTCTCTCTCCTCTTGCAGTGTACTCAGACACTCTGTGGATGCCACCTATGAAGATCAAGGACCCAGGCCAGGATTCCGCATGGAGATGTCCATCTTTTATGTCGTTTACTTTGTGGTCTTCCCTTTTTTCTTTGTCAACATTTTCGTAGCCTTGATCATCATCACTTTCCAGGAACAAGGGGACAAAATGATGGAGGAGTACAGCCTGGAGAAAAACGAGGTAATGTAACCACCTTCAAAGAACAAATATAGCATTTTGTTCATATATGTATTTCTTTATTATGTGCAGGGCTAAAAATAATTAAAATATTTCTTAGTTTTCAATAGTAGAATATTTTATATTTATATTTCCAGTCCGTCATTGGAGCTCTTGTGCCATTTTACATGTTTAACTGGCTTATCCTAGGTGCTTTGCTAATATAAAAAAATGTTTTGTTTATGTAGTACAATAGCTGAAGCTCTGATTACATACCCACCTCAATGGTACAAAAATAAAAGAGAATTAGCCCCAAACCACTATAAAGAAGTTGCCCTCCAACTTCCTTTTACTGTGAGATCCCTCACCTGGAAAGGAAGTAAGGGAAAAATCTCAGTGGGGTCACAGACAGCAATAAATAACTGACGGAAATTCCAAGCGTTCTCCGTTCAATCAAAACTAACGAGGCTATTCACAGAAGGGTGAAGAGTTTGGGGAAGGCAGGAGAAGTGAACAATCTAGGACAACATAGCGGATTTGGAAACATTCTCCAGTTCAGCTCACTTTCCAGTTCAGCTATGTTGTCCTAGATTGTTCACTTTTCCGGCCTTTTCCAAACTCTTCACCCTTTTCTGAATAGCCCTGTAAGTTTTCACTTGTATAGTCAAAATGCAAATAGTTCTTAGTCAACCTCTCTTTAGTTCTTAGTTCTTCATTAAGATGTGATACATTTTCTTACATTTGTTTTCTGAGTTACATTGATTTATCTTCTTACTCTGTGTTCCATATGTATCACCTGTTTGTTCTTTTCCCATGTTACAGAGAGCCTGCATTGATTTTGCTATAAGTGCCAAGCCCCTGACTCGCCATATGCCACAAAACAAGCAAAGTTTTCAGTATCGAATGTGGCAGTTTGTCGTATCGCCCCCTTTTGAGTACACAATTATGGCGCTGATTGCCCTGAATACCATCGTGTTGATGATGAAGGTAAGGCAATCTAATGATTATTGGGCTTAGTTAGATAAACTTGGTGGCGTGGCTTCCTTAGTTATAGGGGTTGGAAAGGCCACAGCTGTACCCCGAACTGCACTGCAGTCATAACTATAAAGGAGATCTTTGCTGGTTTTAAGTCTCATGAGCCACACAACTGAAGATCTCCTGTGACTTCTTGCTAATTCACCATCCTCCTTATTTCAAAAGAGGACACATATTGACTGCTTTCCTGTCTTTCTTATAGTTTCATGGATATTCCAATACGTATGAACAAGTGCTGAAAACATTCAACATTGTCTTCACCTCCCTCTTCTCTCTGGAGTGTATACTGAAAATCATGGCTTTTGGGGCTTTGGTAAGTTTCTCTATCAGTCAGTCTTATTTTGTGCAGTTGGTGGATCTGTCATTGTGCAGTAGAGTTACGGACCCGATATATAGGCATTGTTTATTTTTTTGCCAAATACAATGGTTTTGACGTGATTTGTAGGTGGAAGTGTCAAGTCTTGTTTTTATCCTAGCAAGGGCTATTGTGTTTACAGTGTTAATAAACCTTATTCTGTAAACAGTGTAGGGGCCACAGACACTTTACTAGGGTTGAACAGTAACATTAGGGGTCTATTTATACTTAAAATTGGCAGAACAGCAAATATGTTAGAAATCTGTTAGAAGAAAGCTATTATTAGTGTCCTCCTTGGCTTGTTGCCTAGTAAGTTGCCGAAGAAAGAAAGAAAGGTACTGAAGGGATGGCCACCAGACAACCATAAGTTTCAAAAGGAGAGGTCAGTAATGGGAGCCTACATCTTCCCTTTAGCACAGGTTTACTCTAAGGGGTCTATTCACAAAGTTGCAGAAGGATCTAGCCGTAGCTTCGGCTGATCCTTCGCCTAGCTTCGGCCCCAGGACCCCTTCGGTTCTGCTGAACCAAAGGGGTCCTTCACTATATTCACTATAGCCCGTACAGCTCCCGGGCTATAGGTGAAAGCCAAAGCTGGCCGAGCGGCCGGCCATTGGCCGGCCGACAGCCTGCTACTGACAGCTGGGTGGAGCCAGCCGTCATCTCACGGTTGGCTCCGGCAACTTGCAGAGACAGATCAGCGCCTCCTGGTTACCAGGTAACCAGGGATGCTGATCTGTCATTACCAGACATCCCAACTCTCCCGGACGCTCCGGGAGTCTCCCGCTATTATATAGCGGCTCCCGGCCGCCCGGGAGAGACACATTTTCTCCCGGAAAGGTTTACTCTGCTCGATTGATGAATATAAAAGGAATATGTGGATGTCATGCCGTCCCTACTGAACTTTCCATAATAATGTAGCATACATTCTGCATACAACTACCTCTGCACCCATTTTGCCTACTGCCAGCTAAATCTACAAAATGACTGTCAAATACGTAACCTGTCACCCAGTGTATTCTCCCGTCAGGTCTAGGGGTCAGTGGTTCCCCACTACTTCCTCCCTAATAGCATACAGACTACAGACTATGGGCAGAATTAGCAGGCAATCTCGGGTGTGTTGGATCTGTTGGAAGGGAGAGTCTTCTAGGTGACAGGCAGTAATTTCGTTGTTATTTTTCGGTTCTTCTGGCAGCAGGTAGATCTAAATTCACCTTCTTACTTTAGACTGTTTTATAGAGCACATTCTTTAACCCAACTTGTCCTCAAAGTGAACCTGTGTCCAGACTATGCACACTAAAGTAATTACATATTCTGGACCAGCACTTGAAAATTATCCCTCATTCATCTAGTGTGGCTATAGGCATTGTGTAGAGATTAATCCTCAAAGCTTACAATAGAGGCACTGAACTCTTAGCTTTTTTTTTTTATTAATGTCTGTGGAGGCCGAATCTTGCTAGGCTGCCAGCTTTTTGTAAAAGTAAACACACATTTTTTACCATCTGAACCTGACTTAAGAGTCTTTGTTGTGATCTTTAAGAATGAATTGCTTCACAGTACAAGCAGCTAGAAAGGCCTGCATCCTGCAAACACACCATACGTTTTCACACAACTTTCACCCAGGATTCAAACATTTAAAAAAAAAAATAATTGAAATAACAATTGAAATAAATTAGAAAAATGTGTGTCTTTATAAATGTATAAATAGACTCGCTGGTGTATTCATTAGTGCAGCAAAGATTATACAGATGGACAGTTAAAGCCTTTAGTGAATGTATATCAAACTTGAATTGTGAATTTGCATTGAACTCCTAGGATAGTCTTTAAACAAACACAATCGATGTGAATATGTTAAATGTTAATAGCTTTATTATGGTCTGTTCTAGAATTATTTTCGCGACGCTTGGAATGTCTTTGATTTTGTGACGGTTCTCGGCAGCATTACAGATATTGTAGTTACAGAGTTCTGGGTAAGTGCAAAATAGGGGTGGGTTGAATGTCCTCCCTCCGCAGGGCATTGGTGGGTCAGTTGTGGGGATAAGTGTGTGTCATCAAGCAGCTTATCGTGGCTGCCCTGTGTAGTGATGTCTGCTCTTCAGAGAGTTGTGTGTATGATAGCGAGCGGTGGTGTGCTGACGTGTACATAAAATATGTCTATACGGAACTGTCTTTTATATTACCACTACACCTGAATTCATTTTACACTCACATCAGTGTAGATTAATAAAAACCTATTCAATAGGGATTGTCCGGTCTGAACCTGAGCTCCTTTGAACTTGGAAGGAACTCCCCCTAACACAGAGGGAAGTTCCTTTTGCTGCTGCCCAATATGCACGTAAACAAAGGGGCCAGATGCAGGATGTCATCAAACTTATATGGCCACATTGGTATATTTGGTCAATGACATTGACCTAATATGGCCATGTGACCATAAAAGATCAGTGACATCAGCACAAGCTCCTTATGTGGAGATAGTCTGTGGCATTCCCATGTTTGGAGGAGCTCAGGTTCTTAACAGATTTAGTCCAAACCCAAGCTTGTCCCTACTATTAAAAAGTAGGCACCTGGGTTTCTCAAAGTAACTAGTTTAGGTATTAGGTTTAGTCTTAAGCTAGCCATACACTGGGAGTTTTTTTGGACGAACATTCATACGAAAAATCTCCTCGGGACATTCGATAATTCGATAATGCTGTCAGAGACTTTATGAATGTCGTTTCAAATTTCGTTTGATTTACCATTTGATTTTGTGATAAAAAGTAATTGACAATTAGATCTCATAAACTATTAGAAAATGGAACGAACGTTCTAAAACAACTTTTTTTACTAGTGTATGGCCAGTCTCATATTTTAGAATTTGGTCAATACATTTCAGGTCGTCAATCTGTCCTGAATGCTTCATATATCTCCCTCGGTAGATTTCAGGTATTTTACCCAAATGCAATCCCAAAATTACCATTTCTTCTCCTCAACTCTAGTAACCTTCTCACACTCTCACCTTTAACACTTTTCTCATATTTCTCCTGTTCATTTATCTTTCTTGTACCATTTGGAACTTTCCAACCCTGCAAACATATCTCTTTAGATAATTTGGACTCGTGTTCTCTTCAGTGATTGGTCCAGCACAGCACACTGTCTTTGTAAACATCTGACCAGTTACCTGGCCTCGTGTTTCTGCCCTTCACCTTTCCAGACTGCAGAGCTCTCACTACTGTTGTATTTTGTCGTACTTGCATATATTTTGCTAGACACTTGTTGAAGTAGTTTTTCGTGCTTAGTACATTGTGTGGCTTGTAATATTTTGTTCAGTGCCATGGTAGACGGAGGTACTTTACCTATACACACAACATTGAAAAATAACATTTCAAATGAACCTGCTTATGCAACTGTATGGCAAATCGTAAAGCTAGCAGTAGCTGGTCACATTCAAGTGGGCTTGTTCTGTACTGTTAAAGACGTTTTGTTGTTCATCCAAGTAGCTTCTTCACCAGGGCCGTATTTCCATTTTGGGCGCCCGTAGACACGAATGAAAATCTGTTTAGCGACCCCGCCGATTTTCACATATGCAGAGAAGGACCCCAGCGTTGCGTAAGGCTGCCCTAAACGCCTGTCCGCATCAGACAGGTGTTTTACAGGGCAGCCTTTCCCAGCACCAGGATCCTTCTCCTGCGTTTGCGGAAGCCAGCGGTTCCTGTAGGCGCCGCTGGTCTTGGAGAAGGAGGGTGCATTTTGTGCAGAATGCACACTCCTTGCTATTGCTGGCGTTGTATCTTGACACAACACCGTTAATTAGGCAGAGTAGGTACCTGCACACCTTCCCTCTATGGAGGGTGCCTGTAGGCTACTCTGCCTAATGGTAAATTCAGGCCTGCTAATGACTGCCAGGGACATACTCTGGCATTTATATCCACACATGTCACCTTAATCAGATGACCGTTAATTGTGTTAACATCTGCATTAAATCATTCCGTGGTAAGTAGATAAAAGGCTATATTCACTTTTAATACCATGTTTCATGTTACACCCATATTTAGGGTATAACATGAAACATGGTCACATCCCTAACCCACCAGCCCCAAATGGTGACCACACTTGTAGTCCATTGACACTTCCCCCCCAACCCTGTAACTGAAAGTCCGTATCTCAGTATAGACAGGGACTGGAGGAAGAGTCTGCAGGAGTATTGCACCTGCAATCCAGTGATCATGACGGAAAAGCTTTTCAGCGTCCATTGCAAAAAATACATCTTTTTTTTCTTTCATGAATGTGTGTGCAATTATCATTTGTTTGTGAAAGGTGAACTTTACTTTTAAGGTAACGGAGTTACCAGTGTGGCTGCAAATGCTCTCCTATCTTCCTGACACTCATTAAAAATGAAGAAGCTGCTTTGATAAGCTGTAAAACAACTTCAACATTACAGAACTCCAGCTGAATGTGACCCAATTCTACTAGCTATACCACGGCCTGGGTCAATGGGAACTTTCACAGACATATTGGCAAAACATATACAACAATAACAAAATACAATAGGAAAGAAAGCCCTGCATGCTAGTTTATATACTGTATAATAGGTCTGGAAATCAGTTTTGGAAACTAATGCACTGACAACTTTTTGTGGTGTGCTAATTACCCTGGACGAGTGAATGCCGTGTACCCGTAGTGTATTGCTATGTATATGGAATGCAGTGTTTTGGCATAACAAATGAAGTGTCACAATGTACATTAGGAAATACTCATTACAGTATAATATGCTACAAGAATGCAATGTTTGAATGCTACGATCATTTGTGTGAAGATGAAAGTATGCAGGTTACATCCCTTTTTATTTTTGCTATGCCTACTTTTGTAGAACCTGTGTATACAATGCTGGAGTATTCCACTATAATGCAATGTTCCCAATAATTTCCGCAGACAATTTAGTGCTCTGCTGGAATATATGTGAATAATGCAGTGCTCTGCTGGAATCTGTGGAGAGTTCTCCTGGAAACTGTGAATAATCCAGTCCTGAGCTGAAATACATGTAATTAATGCAGCGATTTTCAAGAATGTGTACTGTATGTAATAGTGCCATGCTCTATGTGATAGATGTGTGAATCATGCAGCGCTCTGCTGGATAAATAAGTGAATGTGGCAGTGCTCTGCTGAGTATATGTAACTAATGCAGCGCTCTTCTGGAATGTCTGTGTGAATAATTCAGTGCTGGAGTATGAGTGAATAATGCAGTGCTGGAATATGGGTGAATAATTCAGTGCTGGAGTATGAGTGAATAATGCAGTGCTGGAATATGGGTGAATAATGCAGTGCTGGCGTATGGGGGAATAATGCAGTGCTGGCGTATGGGGGAATAATGCAGTGCTGGCGTATGGGGGAATAATGCAGTGCTGGCGTATGGGGGAATAATGCAGTGCTGGCGTATGGGGGAATAATGCAGTGCTGGCGTATGGGGGAATAATGCAGTGCTGGCGTATGGGGGAATAATGCAGTGCTGGCGTATGGGGGAATAATGCAGTGCTGGCGTATGGGGGAATAATGCAGTGCTGGCGTATGGGGGAATAATGCAGTGCTGGCGTATGGGGGAATAATGCAGTGCTGGCGTATGGGGGAATAATGCAGTGCTGGCGTATGGGGGAATAATGCAGTGCTGGCGTATGGGGGAATAATGCAGTGCTGGCGTATGGGGGAATAATGCAGTGCTGGCGTATGGGGGAATAATGCAGTGCTGGCGTATGGGGGAATAATGCAGTGCTGGCGTATGGGGGAATAATGCAGTGCTGGCGTATGGGGGAATAATGCAGTGCTGGCGTATGGGGGAATAATGCAGTGCTGGCGTATGGGGGAATAATGCAGTGCTGGCGTATGGGGGAATAATGCAGTGCTGGCGTATGGGGGAATAATGCAGTGCTGGCGTATGGGGGAATAATGCAGTGCTGGCGTATGGGGGAATAATGCAGTGCTGGCGTATGGGGGAATAATGCAGTGCTGGCGTATGGGGGAATAATGCAGTGCTGGAGTATGGGGGAATAATGCAGTGCTGGAGTATGGATGTAGATAATGCAGTGCTGGCGTATGGATGTAGATAATGCAGTGCTGTGCTGGCGTATGGTTGTAGATAATGCAGTGCTGTGCTGGAATATGGATGTAGATAATGCAGTGCTGTGCTGGAATATGGATGTAGATAATGCTGTGCTGGAATATGGATGTAGATAATGTAGTGCTGTGCTGGAATATGGATGTAGATAATGCAGTGCTGTGCTGGAATATGGATGTAGATAATGCAGTGATGTGCTGGAATATGGATGTAGATAATGCAGTGCTGTGCTGGAATATGGATGTAGATAATGCTGTGCTGGAATATGGATGTAGATAATGTAGTGCTGTGCTGGAATATGGATGTACAGTAGATAATGCTGCGCCGCATGAATGAATTATGGAGTGTTGGTGAATACCACATTGCTGTGCCAGAAATCAATGCATTGCTATGCTGAAATGTGTGTGTAAATATTGCAGTACTGTAGTGGTATGTGATGTGTATGTGGATAATGTTGTGCTCTGCTAGGACACACCCTGCCTGTGTTTAGCATGTGGTGTGGATGGAGGAAAGTTGTGTTTGTGGAGGTGGTACAATGCTTGGACTGGTTGATGGAAGGTGTGAAAGGTTGAATGCTCCACATGAGTGGTACAGCCCTGTGACTGGATGAAGCATTGCTCTTTGAGGGTGATGCAGTGCTCTGCGTGGGTGGTACTATAGAGAGTCCGGTGCTCCTATTGGGTGCTACAGTGCTTAGTGGGGCTCCTTCTCTCCTATAATGATCAGTTTATCTCTGTCTTGTCTTTTTCATGTCTCTCTCTATCCCTCTGATATTTTGGCCCCCGGCAAAAAATAACTCATCCAATCAAAATGCACTATGAATCTCATGTGTCCATCCATGAAACTGGTCTGTGACTTCATGCCAACTACACCCCACCTCCCCCATATACCTAACAACCCTCACCCCCAACCCCACGCACAAATTCCTGCCGCAACCTCCTCCATCTACAACTGCATCGCAGAACCCGGTTGGTTTGTAATTTATGACCTAATGCATAAACATTAGCTGCTGCATGTCAGAGGCTGTGCACTCCAATCCACCCCATCCCTCACTCCTGACTCGTCTCTCAAACAAGAATCTAGTGTTTTCCTAATGCCAGGCATTAATCCTTGAAGCCTTACTACACCGGTATCCGGTACATAACATGTCACTGCTTCCACCAGTTACATGTCAGTCTGCTCTTACTAATGACACTTCATAAACCTTCACTCAGCATATCACTCAGCCTGTTTGCCATGTGTAGACTGCGGATACCTGTACACTTGGTTTTCAATATTTGGTATTTTCAGTCCTAGAGATGCCCATACACGGGCTATTTCTTTGTGACTCTGGGCCATTCTAGAACAGTCGGCACACGTTAATAAAAAGAAAATCTCTCCCAGCCTTTTGGATGGCATTGGTTATCCAAGCAGGCAGTAGCATTATGTGCCCATGTATGTGTTTGTTAGGGTAATGTCTTCTATGCTCTCTGCTGTCCTTTTAAGAAAACCCGTCATGAAAGAATTCTGAAGTTTGAAGCAGACACCTAGCACTGTTAGAGGCAGGTCAGCAATGATAGGCCAGAGAAAAAGCAAATGAAAGCCTAGGAGCAGATAATACAAGATGGCCGCTGTTACAATTATTAGTCATCAATGTCTCTTCTTTATTTTCCTGATTTCACTTTGTTACTAACTGCTTGATGTCTCCAATTTTGGTACTAAGACTCTCCTCCCGGAGCCAAGTCCTACCCACCATCTCACTATTTACTGAGTTTGCCTATATTGGCCATGGAATTGTGAAAGACCTGGGATGTTCTGAAGAGGACATTAATACAGTGCATATAGCTGCTGTGCAAACCTGAGCAAACTCCATGTATTCACCACACTACACTACGCCTAACATTGGGACTACTCAGCCACTAACAACTGCTGAGACAATGAACATTTTAGTCAGGAGTATGTAATGTATGGTCTAGTATACAGAATGCAGTGGTCAGGAGTAGGGATACACCGATACCAGTATCGGTATCAATATTGAGTATTTGCCTAGCCCGATACCCGAACTTGCGGTATCAGGGAGTCATTACACGCTGCCCGGCTTCCTGATTGGCCAGGAAGTCGGCTCCATTCTCCCTCGTCACTTGGTGATGAGGGAGCATGGATCCGGCTTCCCAGCTAATCAAGAAGGCAGGCAGAGTATAATAACTTGCTGCTCGGCTTCCTGATTGGTCGGGAAGGTGGCCAATGAGGAAGCCAGACGGCGTGTCATTACCCGCCCCCCCTGGCTTCCTGATTGGCCAGAAAGACGGCTTCATGCACCCTCGTCACCAGGTGATGAGGGAGCATGGAGCCAGCTTCCCGGCCAATCAGAAAGCTGGGCGCCATGTAATGACACGCTGCCTGGCTTCCTGATTGGTCATCTTCCCGACCAATCAGGAAGCCGGGCAGAAAGTTATTATACGCTGCCTGCCTTCCTGATTAGCTGGGAAGCCGGATCCATGCTCCCTCATCACCAAGTGACGAGGGAGCATGGAGCCGACTTCCCGGCCAATCAGGAAGCCGGGCAGCGTGTAATGACTCTCCGCCCCAGTTTTGGTAAATTTCCCCCACTGAATTTTAGCCCTGAGTAACAAAGTGAGCCCAGGATCAGGAGGGATCACAGAAGAGGCTTTGATGGCTAGTAAAGGTAAAAGTAGGCACCTTGTGTTACCCATTTTTTGCTGGTATTTTTACCATTTTAAAGTGTCCAGCATGTTAGCCTTGATGCCATCATGCTAGCAAATTTGATTCTGTAAGTCAAGCCACAAAAATGGTCACATTTGTACACCAGTTGTATTACCTGTAGTCTACTGTAATACTTGTACAAGCTATTGAATGGTCTATTGTACCTCTGTTCAAATAAGAACAGAACCAGGACATGTTCCATTTGGCACAATGGAATTATCAATAGCATATCCAGACAAAAACAGAACAAGACTGATGATAAATGAGATTTACCAAGTTTATTTCACTGCCCCTTCAAAGGGCCCAAGGTTTATCAGAAAGCTGTTTTTATCCTTTAATATATCTATTACAATGCACAGCACTTGAACCCATCTTGGTTCAATAGACAGCCAATCAAGTGGGAAAGAGCGACAATGTGGTTTCTATTATAGGTTCCTACAGAATACATTCCCTTCAGGCTTAAAATATGAAGAAGTCAACCAAAAGGGCTGCCTTTGTATTTGTGGATAGCGGGCACACTTTAATAGCAGTGTGTATTATTGAGGGTTCCACAGCCCCAATTTCAATAACCTTCCCTTTGAGCTCAGCCCCTCTTTTTTTTCTGTCAGTACAAACTTTTCTGAACTCTCCTTTCCTCCCCTCTTCCTCTTGAGATCCCTTGCAGTCTGATTACTGAACTCTGCATGCGTGAACCTTTCCACCCCTGTAAGGATTTTGACTCTGCCTCTTGCTATGCATGTTGCACTGTCCCAGCCAAACACCAGGCAGCTTCTGGGGTACTCCTAACAATGGCCACAACTATCACTTAGCCAGAACCATTCTTTACCTTATTCAGTCTTATAGCAACAACATATATACAGAATTTAATGTAGAACACTGAGCCACTCACATTAGTGCCTACCCCCGAATAAGCATAGAAGCTAATGTCCCTACCACAATTTGCCTGACACACGTAGGTTTCAGGTGGAAGCGTAGCTGGTAGAATGCCACATGAGAAATCATAAACTCCAAGCCAGGCCCAAACTGGCAATTTGGCACCTCAGTTAAATACCATAAGGATTGTTGTGACTTCTGTGAGCTTTAAATGCCCACTTTTTGCCCTCTTTTTGTAGTAATTCAGAAGAATTATTGAGCTTGCCAAAGTTCTGACCATAGTACTTGTCACTATGCCAGTATCGAGTACGAGGACCGATATTTTTTTCCGGTACTCACCGATACGAGTACCAGTGCCCTGTGCCCTGATTATCAGGAAGTTGGCAAGGGGATTGTGACCTGTTGTCCTGCTTCCTGGTTGCCTGTAAATCCGGTGTTCTAGCAAAAGAACACTGGCTTCCTGAGCAATGAGCGAGCCGAGAGCTGCTGTCTGGCTTCCTGATTGGTCAGGAAGCCAGGCTGCTTATCAACAAACGAAGCCGGCCCACTAGCCAATCAGGAAGCCGGGCGACACGTCATGACTCACCTCCTGGCTTCACTTGTTTCTAAGCAACCTGACTTCCTGACTAATCAGGAAGCCAGGAGGCGGGTCAATTCTGATTGGTTAGGAAGCCAGGCTGCTTAGCAACACGTAAAGCTTGCTTCCTAGCCAATCAGGAAGCCGGGAGGCGTGTCATAACCCACCGCCCAGCTTCTTGATTGGAAAGGAAACCAGCTCCTCCTCTGACAGGATGTTCCGGTATCGGTGGTAAGCATCGGAGCATTCGGGCGATTACGAGTACCCGCCCAAATAGTCGGTATTGGCACCGATACAAGTATCGGTATCGGTGCATCCCTAATTAAAATGTCTAGCATGCTTTATAGTAAAGAACCTTCAGCGCCAGAATTGTGTCACAACATTGTCACTGGGACAGAAAGTAGGGGGGCATCTCTCGAATAGGAAAACAGTAGAAAGGCATCATGGCCCCCATGTGCTCCAAGATGGAGACTCTCATAGTTTAGAGTTAGGACCGCACTATAAGAGGTGCCTTGGCGCGGCAGTGCGGCTTTCACATCCTCTGCAGAAGACGTGTATCCAAACCTCTGTTATTATCCTTAGTGGTGAGACAAGTTGTTTTACATGCTGGTTATGTGAGTGTGCCATGATGCCTTTCTACTGTTCTACTGTTCAAAGCCCATTTCGTGTGCACCTTACTGTACAACTGGTGACAAATTGTTGAGTGCGTTTGTCGTTTGTTTTGCTTGATCTGTCGAATAGGGCCACAGATCACAATAAAAAGCTTATGGAGGTTCTAACACTTCTCCATAACATGTTAAATGTTGACGTGTCCCTATTGGAGAGATCTTTTTCTCACTTCCTGTCCTAGTGAGAATATTGTTAGTGGGACAGGAAGTGAAGGTAAATCACCTGTAAGGTTAACAAAAAGAGCTTTTAACTCTTCCCCAGTCTGAAAAAAGCATAGAGGCATTGCTGGGGTCACTTATTAGAAAGCCCAGCATGCTTTGCAATACGTTTTAACACTCCACCACCTCCAGTTCCCTTTTACTATATTATTGTACTGTTTGGGTGGTCTGCTTTTTTGTTCAGGCTACACGGTTTTTGTGTGGTCAGAAGTACATTAGCATGGTCCCAAACATGGACAAAAACTAAACAGGTCTTTGGATTTATGACTGACTAAAATTTTACATAGTAATTTGCTATTCTGCCACAAAGTCCATTCAAAAAGAAGACATAGGCAGGAATAAAAGCTCATAGACTCCATTCACACCTAAGGGAGAGAGTAGCCAGGGGATTTACAGACATCCCAACTCTCCCGGACCCTCCGGGAGTCTCCCGCTATTAGATAGCGGCTCCTGGCCGCCCAGGAGAAAAAACATTGTCTCCCGGAAAGGTTTACTCTGCTTGATCTAGATTCCTATTGGCTATTTCAATTTGCAATAGCCAATAACAGACTAGCTATTGCACCCGCCCACTACTTCTGTCAATCAGCAGAGGTGGACCTGAAGTTCTCCATCAGGTCCTCCTCTGCTGATTGACAGCAGCAGAGGATGGGTGCAATAGCAGGGTTGCTATTGGCTATTGCAAATTGAAATAGCTATTCATTCCTATGCTGTTTTTTTGTTGTTATTCTGATGGCAGCAGCTAACAGAATACAAAAAAAACAAAAAAACAGCAGATAGCACGGGAAGCAATAGCTTCTTTGCTAAATCCCTGGATTTAGAGACTTTTTATTTTGCATGCATGTTTTTAAAGCACTTTTATGCTTGACTTGTAGTACAGGAGAAGAATCATATGTTTTTTGGCCCTCTAGAGGTTTAATTGGGGGCACCCGAAACATTTGTTTTTGAACAGTTTTGTAGGCACCTCCACAAGTCTATGAGACCAAAACGAGCGGTTCTGCCCCCAAAAAATCTCATGTACTTTTTTGAGGTTCACATGATGCTCAGGAGTAAACCAAGGCCATTGAAATCAATGGGATTCTTCTTCTTTTTTTTTTGTGTCAAAGAAAGATAATGTCACAACAATTTTCACAAGATATGAGAAACTACACATTTTCTAAATAATGGGATTCTTCTTGATGAGCGTTGCTGCGCTTTGGGGGAAAAAAGCTACAAAACACCTCGTTGTGAATGGGGCCTGAGCTTGTTCAATGCTGGATTTTATTTTTCCAGTAGTTCTTTCTTCTAAAAATTTCCTAAGAAATAGCAAAGCAAATGCAGTGAAGGTTTTTCTAAGCAGCTGATGTTCCAGTGGCAAAGTTAGTAACTCTAATGGCTTTCTGATGCAATCAATCTTTAACCTTCCATAAAACAGCCGAGTTAGATGGTTATCAAACTGCTTCCCTATCAGTCCCATGCACTTTGAATAAATCACTGAGGGCCCACCGGCAATACTTAATTCATTTGCATGATTTTTTTCCACTGTAGTTGATGGCCAATTAGTTCTGCACTGACCCCAGAAGCACCTGCTTTTTATGGGACTTACATACAACGGATCCCTCGTCACTCAAGAGTAATGTACAATAAGAAAGAGGAACGCCTGGAAATGCTTATAAGAGGGTTTGTTTGTAGCACCACTGCCAAGGAGAATGTGCTTCTACAAGTAGAATCTCTTTTTTTTTTCTTCCGGGGATCCGTTCCATGTGCGAGTGTAGAAGGCTCACATAAATGATGTGCTGTGTCCTGTCTCCACTCTGTCAGTTACCGTAATGCACAGATTTGGTGTGAGGAGTGGAGGAACCTGAGCTCTGCATGTGCCGTACACTCCTACTGTAAAATGCCTGCTTGTTTCCAAATACAGTGCATTTGGTTTGATTCTTGGTTCTTCAATGGAAATCCAAAACTTTCACAAAAATAACCACTGGGATGAAGGAGGCAATGGGGCCCTCTTGCGGCCTTCGCTCTGCACCTTTTCCCTGGCTTAACACAAGGGCCTTCTTTTTCAATGGGAAGTCAGCTTCAATAATTATGTCAATTAAAGAGGCCCTGTCACTTAGTTACAGGCATAATGCCACAAAGTATATTCTGGACACCATGCTGCCTTTTTCCTCAGTTGTGAAGGTGCTATTGTCTTTTTAAATCTAAGGTTATGGTTATGGGTTACCTGACCTATCAAATACATTTTCCTGTAAAAAGCTTCACTCTTTCTACCAATTCCAATTACACAGCTGAGGGCCATGTGAGGTCAGGAGAGCCCTGCATTCAGCCTGTATGAGGGGGACTGGTTGTTTGGAGAGGCCATGTCCTAGACACCCCTTTCCTCCCAAGTATCCATGGTATGATCTGGCCTAAATGTTATGTAGCCCTCTGCTTTTTTGTGGATGCTAATGTAAATCACAAAGAATAAGGCCTATCTGATAAAAAGAATTGAACTTTTTACTGGAGAACATCTCAGCTGTAGCCCCATCTTGTATGCAGATTACCATTGAAACAGCTGGAGGTTATGCTGAGAATGGATTGGATCTGTGATTAGATTCTGATGTTCTGTAGCAATTACAGTGTATGTAAACCCAAACAATAAACTTCTTTTACTTGCCCCCTTTTGGTCTGTTTAACAAAGCATTGGAAGTGCTTTCCTGTACCTGTTCAATAAGTGCAAATACTTTTTTATGATCCTGCCAGTAACCCTGTACTGTCCTGTGTCATGGGTAGTCTGCAGTGTCATCAACCTGCCAGTTTAGCTCTGTGAGCTACAGAACAACTTTCCCCTTTATCTGTAAAAAATAAATCGAAACAGCTGGACTTGCTCTATCTTTATTGAAGACGTTTCACTGGTCATCCGACAAGTTTTCTAAATTCAGAATTGAGAAAGTTAGTCGGATGACCAGCAAAACACCTTTAAGAAAAATACAGCAAGTCCAGTTGCCTTGGTTTATTTTTTACAGACATACCATGTCCTGGATGAATGAGAACCTTCACAGTCATATCTTTCCGCTTTGTTATACAAATTAAAAAAGGGCTGGTGTTCAATAGTCCTAACAAACTTCCTGTCCTAGGATGACATCGCTGTTATTTCATAGATGCAGTGCTGTGCAGTGCAGTGAGTGAGCGTTGTCAAGCTAGAACAGGAAGTGTGTTACTAGTCGGATCACCAGGTGACAATAAAGGAAAAGAAAGCCTGAAAAAAGATAACTAATGCAGCCACCACATCTAAGGACTGGTAAACTGCAATATATTACATTTTTGTTCTTGGATTTTGTTACAGGCTTCCAGATTTCTGTCCCTTTCCCTCCCTTCTGGTTTCCAATGACCACATAAAAGGCTGACACTCCTAAATCTCCCCCAATGTAATCTCCTAGTGTTCCCATGGCAGTAGGTGAACAAGATAGTCCTGCAGTGGTAACTTTAACCTTCGCTCTTTGAAATTTTTATGGAACCCTTATAACTGAGAAAACAAAGCACAGGGTCTTCCCTTCAACTGCCTTCCTCCTTGGCAGCATTATGTCTAGTACAAAGTGACAGGTCCTCTTTAACAAGAACATATGAAACAAATAAATAAAATTATTGCTAGTAAGACTACGAGTTCTTACAAATTTTCTTACTGGATGCAAGAGTTTCCACTCTTCTGTCCTTTCTGTATACACTCCTAATTTGTAATATATTTGACCTCTTGCAGGAGGACGTGGGGTTTGCGGGAAAACGCAGGGGCAGTATGGTAGTTTGCTGAATTTGCAGAACTGTTCTTTTCTTATAATAATTTTATTTATTTATTTCGATCCAAAGAAAAAAATAAAAATGTGTCTTCCTGTTTTCACTGTCTTCTTTGTGTCCCCTCCCATTTATGCTTTATAGGATAACTTTATCAACCTCAGCTTTTTACGTCTGTTCCGTGCGGCTCGTCTCATTAAACTCCTGCGTCAGGGGTATACTATTCGCATCCTTCTGTGGACCTTCGTCCAGTCCAAAATCCTCAAATCATCTCTGGATTGGTGCTGAGACTGTCCTTCCTTCTGGATGGTGGCTAATTGTGTTCCCCATGGCCCCTGTGTGTGTTGTAAAGTAGATACCGCTCCAAGCTCACTCCTGTGATGGACTGCAATCTCATGTCTATCACAGGAGCGAGCTTGGAGCCAGGGCCGGCCTTAGGCCTTTAGGCGCCCTGTGCGATAAAGCTTTACAGCGCCCTTCAGTGGCCACACCCTTTAGTGGCCACACCCCCGTAACCACACCCATTTCCCCCAATATCCGCACCATTTCAAGACTCCTATTTTGTTAAGCCGCAAAGAAACATATTAAAAAGTATGATAAAAATAAAACTTTTATTCAAAGGTATTAAACTTGTAGGCACAATAGAAGTATTCTTATCAAATAAAACAACAGAAGGTAAACAATAAATGTCAAATTAAAATAGAGTCTATAATAATAAAGTGTCCGGTTGTCATGCTGATCCCTTTTTTCAAGTAAGTGCATCTAGAAAAGTAAAAATAAACAACAGAACACGGACCCCGGGCCACATGTAAATTAATGAATTACTATATGTCCGAATATACGAGAAATGTATTCAGACACATAATAATAATCTGTTTGAGAATGTGCGGCGGCCATGTTGGCCACCAGCGTGTTCTGTGAATG